AGGACTCTTAAAAGATGTGCAGACCAGGTACTGGAGGTGGGTGCTGGGGTTGATTAGGGAGACTCCGGGGGTGGATAGAAGGGTGCATTGTAAACTCTTGGTTGATTGTACTGTAGAGAGATTGTGGCAGGAAACGGTCGTTATGGGCAGCGAAAAAGAGAGAAATACTACAGAAGGTGGGGTATTCAACGGAAGAAGTGAGCAGGAAAAGAAAGGAGGGGATTGAGATGTAATAAGGGAAAGATGGTACAACCCAAAATATGCCAAAATTGTAGCGGAGGGGTTACCAAAGTACCTAATGACAGAGAGGGATGAGGTTGGTACCCAGATTTAGATGTGACAATGAAGAAAGGGCCAATAGATATTGGATGCAGGATGAGGAGAGACGGTGCAGACTTTGTGAGGAAGGCTGGGAGTCTTTGCACCGTCTGCTGGTGGAGTGCAGTGAGTTGAGAGAAGGTAGATTGGAAGCAGGTGCTGGGGGAGAGGGCAGGAGATGGATGGGGGAGGTGGTGGCAGCGAGGAGACGTAGAGTGACAGGGACAAGCTGGTAAAGGGATAAGAATTATGTAAGTTATACTTTGTACTTTGGTACATGTTGTGGTATTTTGTATAAATTGTAACCTTCTGGGAAACAATACATTATTATTACTTAATTATTATTATAAAGAAAAGTATGTACTTTTTCAGGAACAAAATCATTCTTGAAAATCTCTATTCATTCTTGAGATAAAAATGTTTTCAACCAAGAATTTTTAAGATTTTATTAAAATGACAGTTTTCTATAATCAGTTTTAAAAAGATATCTTGATAAAACATGCGTGATTTATAAAGAAAAACATGTATTTTTTCATGAATAAAACCGTTCTTGAAAATCTCTATTCGTTCGTGAGATATCAACTTTTTAAAACAACCAGAATTTTTACGATTTTAAGAAGATAACAATTTTATACAATCATTTTTAAGAAATCGTGATAGATGGAATTCTTGAGATATCTTGATGAAACATTCGTAATTTATAAAGAAAAGAATATATTTTTTCATAAATCAAACAGTTCTTGAATATCTCTATTCCTTCATAAGATAATAACATTTTAAAATAACCAGAATTTTTACGATTTTAAGAAGATAACAATTTTATACAATCATTGTTAAGAAGTCGTGGTAGATGGAATTCTTAAGATATCTTTATGAAACATTCCTGATTTATAAAGAAAAGAATATATTTTTTCATGAATCAAACCGTTCTTGAATATTTGTATTCGTTCATGAGATAACAATATTTTAAAACAACCAGAAAATTTACGATTTTCAGAAGATAACAATTTTCTACAACCACTTTTAAAAGACCGTGATATATCGAATTCTTAAGATATCTAGATGAAACATTCGTGATTTATAAAGGAAAGTATATATTTTTTCATGAATCAAACAGTTCTTGAATATCTCTATTCGTTCATGAGATAATAACTTTTAAAACAACCTGTATATTTATGATTTTATGAAGATAACAATATTCTACAATAATTTTTTAAAAGTCGTGATAGATCGAACTCTTAAGATATCTTGATGAAACATTAGTGATTTACAAAAAAAAAGTATATAATATATATATACTAAAAATATTATTTTCTCATGAATCAAACCGTTCTTGAAAATCTCTATTCGTTCATGAGATAATAACTTTTCAAAACAACCAGATTTAGATAACAATTTCCTACAATCATTTTTTAAAACTCGTGAAAGATCGAATTCTTAAGATATCTTGATTCGTGATTTATAAAGAAAAGTACCTATATATATTTTCATAAATCAAACCGTTCCTGAAAATCTCTATTCGTTCATGAAATAAAAATTTTAAAAACAACCAGAAATTTTTTCGATTTTAAGAAAATAACAATTTTCTACAATCATTTTTTAAAAATCGTTATTGATCGAATTCTTAAGATATTTTAACGAAACTTTTATGATTTATAAAGAAAAGTATATATTTTTCCATGAATCAAACAGTTCTTGAATATCTCTATTCGTTCATGAGATACAAATTTTTAAAACAACCAGAATTTAAGATTTTAAGAAGATAACAATTTTCTACAATTATTTTTAAAAATTCATGAAAGATCGAATTCTTAAGATATCTTCATGAAACATTCGTGATTTATAAAGAAAAGGATATAATTTTTCATAAATCAAACCGTTCTTGAAAATTTCTATTTGTTCATGAGATAAATTTTTTTAAAACAACCAGAATTTTTACGATTATAAGGAAATAACAATTTTCTACAACCATTCTGAAAAAATCGTGAAAGATCGAATTTTTAAGATATCTTGATGAGACATCTTGATTTATATAGAAAACTATGTATTTTTCATGAATCAAACAGTTCTTGAATATCTCTATTCGTTCGTGACATAAAAACTTTTTAAAACACCAAGAATTTTTATAATTTTAAGAAGATAACAATTTTCTACAATCGTTTTTAAAAAAATCGTGCTGTATCGAATTCTTAAGATATCTTGATGAAATATTCGTGATTTATAAAGGAAAGTATATATTTTTTCATGAATCAAACAGTTCTTGAATATCTCTATTCGTTCATGAGATGATATTGATATTATTATTAATATCATTAAACATATTATCATTTTGTTTTTGTTATTATTTTGTTTTTTGTAAATTTTTTCCCTTTTGCTGGTTTTTGTTTACTTTTATATATATATATTTTGTTATTATTATTAACATTAATTTTTGTATTGTTCTTCTTATGTATTATTACTGGATACTTCACTGGGCCTGTCCTGTTTGTATCCCAAAGATTACAAATAAATAAATAAAAATAAATAACTGTTAAAACAACCTGTATTTTTACGATTTTAAGAAGATAACAATTTTTTACAATAATATTTTATAAATCGTGATGGAACCGCGTGTTAAGATATCTTGATGAAACATTTGTGATTTATAAAGAAAAGTATGTATTTTTTCGTGAATCAAACAGTTCTTGAATACCTCCATTTGTTCATGAGATAACAATTTTTTCAAACACCCACAATTTTTATGATTTTATGAAGATAACAATATTCTACAATAATTTTTTAAAAATCGTGCTATATGGAATTCTTAAGATATCTTGATGAAACGTTCGTAATTTATAAAAGAAAGTATGTATTTTTTCATGAATCATACCGTTTTTGAAAATCTCTATTCGTTCATGAGATAAAAATTTTAAAAACAACCAGAATTTTTACGATTTTAAGAAGAGAAACAATTTTCTACAATCATTTTTTAAAAATCGTTATAGATCGAATTCTTAAGATATCTTGGCGAAACTTTCATGATTTATAAAGAAAAGTATATATTTTTTCATGAATCCAACAGTTCTTGAATATCTCTATTCGTTCATAAGAAAACAACTTTTTAAAACAACCAGAATCAGATAACAATTTTCTACAATCATTTTTTAAAAATCGTTATACATCGAATTCTTAAGATATCTTGGCGAAACTTTCATGATTTATAAAAAAAAGTATATATTTTTTCATGAATCAAACAGTTCTTGAATATCTCTATTCGTTCATGAGACAATAACTTTTTAAAACAACCAGAATTAGATAACAATTTTCTACAATCATTTTTAAAAACTCATAAAAGATCGAATTCTTAAGGTATCTTGATGAAACAAACATGATTTATAAAGAAAAGTATATATTTTTTCAAGAATCAAACAGTTCTTGAATATCTCTATTCGTTCATGAGATAAAAACTTTTTAAAACACCCAGAATTTTTATAATTTTAAGAAGATAACAATTTTCTACGATCGTTTTAAAAAAATCGTGCTGTATCGAATTCTTAAGATATCTTGATGAAACATTCGTGATTTATAAAGAAAAGTATGTATTTCTTCATGAATCAAAACGTTCTTGAAAATCTCTATTCGTTCATGAGATAATAACTTTTTAAAGGAACCAGAATTAGATATCAATTTTCTACAATCATTTCAAAAACGAATTCTTAAGATATCTTGATTCGTGATTTATAAAAAAAGTATATATTTTTTTCATGAATGAAGCCGTTCTTGAAAATCTCTATTCTTTCATAAGATAACAATTTTAAAAACAACCAGAATTTTTGCGATGTTAAGAGAATAACAATTTTATGCAGTCATTTTTAAGAAATCGTGAAACATGGAATTTTTAAGATATCTTGATGAAACATTCATGATTTATAAAGAAAAGTATTTTTTTTTCATGAATAAAAGCGTTCTTGAAAATCTTTATTAGTTTATGAGATAAAAAGTTTTTAAAACAACCAAAATTCTCGAAAAGAGTTGTGATAATTCAAATTATTAAGTTAAACTACCATTCTTATAAAGCAATACCATAAACCTCGGTATTAAAAATGTGGCATTTGAAGAAATGAAATTCTTTAAATTTTTAAAATGACGAAACAGTAAAAGTTAATTAACAAATAATAAAGAAACGGTAAAGGAAATATGTTTCTACAATCAAAGTGGAAATAAAAAAACACTAGAATTAATTAAAATTTCAACTATTTCCACAACAACTTTATAAGAACAAACTAAATCCTTCAAATACATTCTAAAAATTCTTCGCCCATTTCGAATCAAATTACATAAACATTTTCTTTATAATTTGATTTAATTAGTAATCATAAAGACAAGTCAATAATCGTTAGTTTTTATTTCATTTTTAAATCATTTCCTGATAAAATCCGACCATAGGAAGCATTCCTGCGAGCTATTTTTCAGCCATGACCTCCATATCATGAATCCTTTATTCGAATTCTTGCCTCAACGTTCTACAATACACGCTCAACGCATACATTCGCACACGAAGGAAGCCAAATCCAGTTTAGTAAAACGCCAATAGATAGTAAACAAAATCGGCATGTGCTCTCGTCACCCACACCGTACTAGGCTCAATATGATATAAAAGATCCTCTGCCAACGTTTAAACGCTTCAGTACGACAATAACCGTCGATGCGAGGGCGTCGACTTCAACAAATAATACAACTCAATAGTGAGATTAAAGAATTTTTTTTTCTTTGAACAAAATTAAATTAATACTTTTGGATTGGGTCACAAAGTATTTGAGTAACGCGGTTGGAATTTATTATTATTAATCCAGATTACGAAGTCGTCGACGAACGAACCGAGTTGACTTGGTGCAGACTTTAAAACGATTTTCATTTCACTCTCTGTGCCGGTTTTGTTCTATTCAAAGTTGGGTGGAGTTGTATTTTATAACATCGATTATTCGTTCCGTTTTCTTTCGTATAATAGTCCAATTCTTCGTGTGTGTATATAAGTCGAGGAGCGATTAACGTACCGCCAGTCGACCAAGAACCATCTCAGTAACCACACTTTAAACTTTAAACGGTAGACCTTCACCAAAGTGGTTTTTTTAACATTTTTTTATTTCTTTAAAAACAAGAAACCATCATGGCCGTGGAGATGCCTTCATACATCCAAGAAAAATTCACCAAATTGAAATTTTCAGAATTCGTGGTAAGTCTGCAAATTATTGTTTATCTACTTAACGTTTTGAAGCATACAAATGTGTATTTTTGGATCTTTAAATTATTTTTTTGGAATCGCGCCAAGAATCAATTTATTAATGTTCAAATTTGTATACAGTTTGTTGTTCAAGAGAAAACTCATCTCGGCGAAACTAAACTAATCTTTTAGATAAACACATATTGAAATTGAATTTACATCACTTTAAGTGGTTTTTGTTTCAAAACAACTAGTTGAAACATTTTTTTTTCTTATCAACAAACATTTTTCAGTTTTTAAATGTTGTTATGTTCTAAAGAATAATCGTTTAAATTTTTTAAATAATTTCAAACAATTTTTTGTAGTAATCTAACTACAGTTTTTCATCAAAATTTAAAAGATTTACATAAAAAAATTATTTATACAAAAATTATTTTGTACGTTGTAAATTTTCAAGGATAACTCACCGAGAAATGTTGAAGCAGTTAAATAAAAAGAGTTAACATTTCAATGTCTCAAGAACCCTTTTTAAACCACTTTTGACGTCACAAAGAAAATTTATGTTAAGTTTTAAAACAAATTTATCTATATTTAAGAATCATTTCACAAATAATCCAATAAACTTGCGGAAACCTGAAATATTTTGGCAAATAACGAAGTAATCGATAAATATTTATTCACATTAAAATGTTGTTATGTTTTCAACGATAACTTTTCAACAGTTTTAATAGATCAGAAAACATTTGATAAGATTAGATTAAGGTTTTAATATATTAACTCAATCTAAGGAACAGCACTAAAACTTCAATTTTAATTTGCAATATTTGGCAACAATCAAAGAAACTTCGCAAAATAATCAATTTGTCTTTTTCATAATGAATCTCCCTCTCCCTCTTGTACCTTGTAGATTCCAGTCCATTGCTGTCCTTGCAAAATTTTCAAATTCCCTTCACAGCACATACCCAATTCATTAAAACGTGAAAAACTTCAATAAGAATAGACTCGAAACTGTAACTGTTTATCAAGAAATGCGTCCGAAAAATATTAAAAATCAAATGAACAGACCGAATAAGAAACGAGGAAGTGTGAAGCCTCGCAAAACAAACCCAACTCAGTCAAGACACCCACGTCAGGAAATGGAACTGGATTGGGCACGCGATGAAAGTAATAAGGAAGCTTAAAGATTTGTTCAATAACATATCCGATGTGAAATACATTTTGTATTTATTAATTAATGCGGCAATATCCTTCTACTTGTGCTAATAATCCCTTCGCCACATAAAGGGGCGTTCTAGTAGTTGCCTTGGCAGTGGTTTTCCATTCCCTATAATCTTTAACAATCTGTTATGTTATTCGTTCCAACCTCGCATTCATTGCACAACATCCATGATACCAACTCTTCTCTCATCTTGTTTCTGCCATCTCCGCCTTTGTTTCCCTTGCATATCTCATAATAGAGCTGATGCATGCCTTATATATTCTTGATTTTGTTTTACTCAACATACAGTTGTATCTCCAGATTGTGTGCATCAGCGATTCTTTTTGCCTTGTTTCTCTTTCGGGTTTCTCTTTCCAAATCAGATGATGCCTTAATCCAAACCCAAACTTTTCATAAAGTGAAGTGATGGTTCATCCCTACATCTTGCAGAAACCATATATTTCTATGTAATTTGCAAACTATAAATATTTCCTATTCTTTCGCAATTGCTGCTAAAAAGCTGCTTTTGATAGAATTGTTTCAGCATCATACTTTTTATTTCACCCAATTCAATGTCAATATCATTGTGTCAAAAGTAGGAATAAGAATCAACGTTTCTTAGCCTTTAGTAACGAATCGAGCTTTATAACTCTACATGATTTCATCTGCTTTGGTCTGAACTTAAAGAATCAAAAGGTTTTCTATTGGACCTATCTCTTCTATCATATCATATTGATACAATACGCTTAATACAATATTGTTTTGCTTTGACTTCCTGAAACACCTTTAATTCTCTCCATCTTAATGTACATAGCTATGATCAGTTGTCTGCCGAATCCTTGTAACATGTATTATCGGTTATTGGATCAATATGTATACCGAACCGTAAGAGACCTCTGCTTAAAGTTTCTGCACTCTAAGTTTGGCCAAGGCTGCTTGTGGTGGGGAATTGCAGAATGTTGTGCACTTTTGGATCTATAATTGGTGTCATCTATTTCCACCATAATCAAACGAAGTCATAGATTCCCCGCTTTAACCCTTAACCCGAAACACTGAAATATCAACCTTATTAGAAACAACATGTCTAACAATAATTCGTTTTTCTCATTTTTGATGATGAGCAAATACTACAACTTTTTCTTGTCATTGGGAACATGATGCATTTGGACAGTATTTTCATCATTGTGGACTTGATGTGCAACAGCAAATCTCAAAAGATTTAGACCGCAGTTCCTCAGGAAAGTCTATTGTTAGTGTTTGCCTTAGATGAGGTTCTAACAGTTCAAAAGCCAACTCCTTCACAAATTTAAAACATTTTGTCACCCTGATAGCACAGATATAAAATAAAACTGTTTACTGTACTGATGTTTACTAGACTGTAAAATACAGCTAATGTATTATATAAAATTAGCGCATTTCATATCGAGAACAACTCCTGACTGGTATGGTTGTAATATTTAATTATTTCTGGCTTTCCAAGTTCATTATCTTTAGAATGATGCATAATTGAAGCTAATAGAACTGCTTTATTGCGTCAAGCCAGATCTCTTTAATTTATCAATTACTTCTATTGACGTAAAATAGTTAGCTGGAGTTACGTTTCTGTTTGGTCTGTCGATAGGTTTACACAATCTAATCACACATTGTGAAGGTTTCGATAGTTTTCTCTCTTCTTCAGAGAGCCCTACACCCAACATCAGTATCTTTTCCTACGTAAATATAGCCATTGTAGAAATACGCGTGCGGTTATGCACATAACTTTTATGCCATATTTAGCTGGCTTGCTAGGCATGTATATACGAACACGACAGTTATCTCTAAAAGGCATAGGCATTTCATCAATAGTAACGCATTTTTATACAGAAAATAGTTTTTGGCTGTTTGAAACGAATTTGTCGAAAATGTCAGAGATCATAGCTGTTGGATTCGACTTCTTTCGTTCTTCCCGATCTACGCTGTTATCAAATCAAAGGCTGGTTAGTAAAATTTCGAACCTTTTTCGAAATTGTCGTTCTAAAAATGGGCCGTCCCAAATAATCTTTGGAAAATATGGATAACATGTCCTCATGTGAGGATTTCATAATTAATGGCTACATAAGGAGTCCAAGCAGCGCTTTGATTTAAGTAGAATTCGTATCATATCATATTTCATAAATATATCATATTTCTAAAATTTCTACCAATTGTAGTTAGCCCTTGTAATCTTGTAATGATATTATGCGATCTGGTTTCAGTGTTTCTTGTTGGTTTAGTTGACGTCCACTGAAAACCATTTTTTCCACAATATATGACTTCGTCAGATATGTCCAGGAAATCATCATCTGACTTGAATCATTACTATCCTCTAAAATATAATCAGAATCATCTGCTATTTCATCAAGTTCTTCGTCCGATAAATATAATCTTGTTCCATTACGCAACAACTTCTTATTATCTTATTTTCAAAATTTGGATCATTCAAATTTATTCGGGTATCATGTCTACTAGGACCTGGTTTAGCGATAGTTGCTAAACTAGTTGCTACTTTTGTTTAGTATACATATATATGCAATTAGAGGTCTTTAGGACCTCCTTACCGTAATTCAAAACAATTGGTTTCATAGACTTGCACGTTTCTAGAGTCTACCACTCACATTACACTGCACTATGACAATTCAAACTGTCTACTGAACCTATGTTTGGGGTTAAGGGTTAAGTTTAGCCAAGGCTGCTTGCTGTAATATATGATATTAACTACTTTTAGGTCCATATGGTATTTATTGTTGAGCCACGGCCACAAACAACTTTGGTTTAATCTGACAAAATGATCCATTTCTACAATAATCGGACAAAGTCATAGATTCTTAGCTCTAAGTTTATCCGAGGCTGCTTGCTGTAATATGTTAACTACATTTGGGTCCACATGGTATTTATTGTTGAACCTCGGCCGGAAGCAACTTTGGCTTAATCAGATAAAGTCATAGATTCTTCATTGTAATTTTAGCCGAGGTTGATTATGAGTTAACCACTTTTGGGTTCATATGGTAATAATTTTTGAGCATCGACGGTAAGCAACCTCAGCTTGATCAAAAAATCATCTATTTCCACCATAATCAGACGAAGTCTTAATTTTTCGCCCTACGTTTAACCGAAGCTGCATGTGTTAACTACCTTTGGGTTCATATGGCATTAATTGTTTTTTTTTATGGATTTCTTTCTTCATCAGGTTCTTCTTGGCTTTCCGTATTGACAGCTTCTCCCAAAACATGAGATATTATTACTTTTTCACAATTTCTTATTCACTCTCTTATTCTTTGGAATATGTATTTGTTCGTTTTTTGGAATTCTTCATCTTCAATGGCTCTACAGACCGTTGCAAAGCTTAGTATCATCTATCATCTACGAGATGGTACAACATATTCAACTTGATAATCCAACTTTGAAGAGGTTACGACTTAAGGGCTTTGGAAAATCTTTAGATTGATGTGTCCAGTTTGCTTATAACTAGAAGATGAACAAAAAGCAGAATGAATGAAAGAGCTGTGCTATTTACTCTTAATATACAAATCAAGTTGACACTAATCACGATTAATTATAGTTGTATTTAACTACATGACACTAATTTACATTTCGTCTATACGCAGTATTATTGCAAAGTAAACATTTTACAATCATAATATTGTTTAGAGAACTGAAATGTGTACATGGCAAGAACTTTACACATCTTGGTAGTACCAGGAAATCAATTGTGACAAAAGTCTTGGTAAAATCAAGAAAAATTACAGTATCACCATTATCAGTAGATAACAAGACGTCGTTTAACAGCTTCAATATTACAGTTGAACCTATATAATCATGGCATCTCTCAATTTTTGCCTCCGAGTTTCTCTGTCCAGTATCAGCCCTGGTGTTCTTGCTCCTAAGTCTCGGTTCTTGCATTTTTCTGTTAAATAGTTGCTTCGGTATTTTTCCCTCTTTCATTGTGGCCACATATCCTGCCCATTAAAATCTCTGGATTTTGATGTTGTTGAGTCATTACAGTAGCTGTATAGTTTCTGGTTTTATATTGGGCCTACAATTCTTCCCAGGATCTTCTTCTTAAAGACATCTATGCTGTTGGGCAGTTTCTGAGTTAACGTCCATGTCCACAGCGTTCTCTCACAAAGCCTTAAAATTGTTTTATAGATCCGGAACTTCATATTTCTATATATATCCTCAAATTTGATTGTATTGCAAAATATTCTTTTTCATGGCTCTTCCTGACTATTTGTCTATAGGTACGTTTCTTCTGCATCCTTTCTTGTTTGGCTTAAGATATTAATATCGTTTTTATAGGACACTGATTTGGTTATTAATAGATTCAACTTCTTATTTTCATTTTTCTTATGGTAGGCTTCAACCAACGTTGATGTCAACCCATCTCTTTGTTTTCGCTCTTGGGTAATATGCAAGTTTTTGTTAGCTAACCCTATATACATACTCAAGTGTTTAAATAAGTGAGTAAATGAGTGTTTAAATCACACATATCTCAATTTGCATAAAAGAATTTGCTTATTATTGTTCCATAAAACGTTCCTGAAATAAATAATTATATATGATGTATATTTTCAAGGATAACTAACCGATAAGTATTTAAATTGCTAAAAGCAAAAACATTTTAACATTAAGAACCACTTCAAAATCATATTTTACATTTGCGTTTCAAACAAAATGATGTTAAACGTTTTTAAAGGTTTAAAAGCAATTTATCTTTATTTAAGTAACATTTAGCAAACATGGAAATCGAACAGTGGAAACGTTAAATTCTTTGGCAAACAACCAACGAAAACCGATTCAAATTGAGATTACGAGCAACGTTTACTTAACCAAGTTATTTTTACCAACATCGTTACAAATCGAAATTTGTTACAACCCATAATTTTTTTAAATGATAAACCAACAAATACCAACTTAACTTATTCTCTTTGCGATTTTTCATTTAAATTTAAAAAGCCGAAAACAAATTCCTGACTTGGATTACAAAACATATTAATCAACGCAATTAATTAGCTTCACTACGCAGTTTGAAATAAAGTCATTAAAACTGTTTTCCCTTTCAATTTCGGTTTAATTGTTTTTATTTATTATTTCAGAGTTTACCACCAAGCGTTGAAACTCCTTGTACACCACAAACACCGGATACTCCATTATTACCACCTCCGGAACCTTTTCAATTGAGAGTTATTAAGAAGGAAGAAAGCGAAAAAGTTTTAGATTTTTTAAGAACTTTTTTCTTTCGGGATGAGCCGTTAAACGTGGATGTAAAGCTTTTAGAGGGCGAAAAAACTTGTAAAGAACTTGAAGAATACTCAATGAAAGCTTTAAAAGATAACGTTTCTGTTATGGCTATTACCGATTCAGGAAAAATAATTGGCGTTTGCTTAAATGGAATTATCAATAAAAACGATGGAAAAGAAGAATTTATTGTTAAAGATCCGAAATTTTCGAAAATAACTAATTTATTAAGTTACGTAGATAAAATGGCTGATGTTTTTGGAAAATATCCTGATATTGATAAAATGATTTCTGTTGATATTTTATCAGTTGATAAATCTTGGAGGGGGCAAGGAATAGCGAAGAAACTTATGAATAAAACGAGGTAATGAAAACTTTTCTTTGGCAATAAAATATATGAACGTGATATAAGCATTAAAGCACGTGTAACGGATAATTTGCGTTAATGTACCGTTTATAACTAAACAATAATCAATTACACGAGTAATTAAATATTCATCGAGCTGTTACATAAATTCTAATAAACACGTTCTTAATCATTTCAACCCCAATAAAAAGCATTAATTAAATTGTTAATTTAAATTCAAAATTAGAATAAGTTTAATAAAATCACCAGGACTTAGCTCAGCACTTCATTAACAAGAAAAAATAAACATTTGATTAAATAAACAAACATTTCGTATTAATAATAAACTAAAGACGTTTTCGGTTGCATCTGGTGACTTACCCAACAACTTAAAGAGTCTCAATTATTTATTTTTTTATTTTTATCTTTTTTTCTTTAGAGAACTTGCTAGAGAACAAGATTTTAAGTTAATGAGATGCGACTGTTCGAGTCATTTTAGTGCAAAAGCGATCGCCAGGCTTGGATTCCAATGTATTTATTCGTTAAAATATGAAGATTATAAGAAGGAAGGTCGCCCAGTATTTAATCCGGAACATCCACACAAAGAAGTTACCGTTTACATTCAAAGGATCAACTAAGCTAAGCAACCCTTTGAGAAATTTTCCTATTTTTTTTATAATAATTATTATTAATTAATGTATAGTGTCTATACAGGTATTAAATATTAATAACCGTATTTGGTGAAATGTACTTAAAAGGAAAAAATGATCTTATCATTATTAAAAAAATTTGAACAAATTAACCTTGAACTTAAAATATTAAAATTATGTGTATTTTGTGAATTGTGATGATAATAACATAAATTATTGAGATTGTTTTTGTTCTGTTGTGATAAATTAATGAAAAGATGAGGTTAATAAAGAATTTTTTTCTAGATTTTGTGTCTTATTTAAATTTTTTTGATGTTTGATATTAAATGTTTAAATAAATTATCCTTGAACTTAAAAAGTTGTTTATTTTATGAACTGTGATGATAACAGTTATTTATTGTGTAGTGTTTTAGACAGCAATTTATTCACGCTAGAATGTTCTTAAGTGAATAAAATGCATCTAAAACACACTCATTTAGAATCAGAATCGCCAAAATTTCATCTGATGTTATCAAAAAATGATTTGACATTTCACTCTGACAGCGGCTGTCACCTAAAAAATCATTGCAATTAACTAAACAACATTGGGAGGTGCTGAATTGTTGCTATTTATTAAAAAATATATTTATATTTATTTATTTATATCTATTTATTAATATAGCAACAATAACAATATTTTATTTATTTAAATCAAAGAATAGGATGTGATTGATTTAAGATTGTATTTTTCATTAGTCCACTAATGGAATAAAGTTACTTTATTCCACTAGTGTATAAAATGGTACTTTATACGGTTCATAAGTGTGGATAAAACTTCAATTACAAGGTGATTATGGATAAAATAGTTTTATTTATGTCTAACAAATTTTGGACCAACTTTATAGAACTTGATTAAATCCATGTTAACTTAACCGAACATTAACATGATACCTTATTCAGTCAGAAAAAGAGTCTTGACAATTTTCTTTATTGCATTTCCTGCATTTTGACTATAATGGCTGGCATTGTCAAATCCTTTAGTTAAAAATATTTTTAACAGTTACGACTTGAGTGTTATGAAAAATACTCTGTAAATCTTCGAAGAAATGGTCTTTGAACACACAAAATAAACTTAGAAGGATTATCTGTTAATCCTGTCGTGTTTATTGATAATATGGACTCACCATTTAGCAAGTTTTGCAGAGTTAGAAACGTGTTAAGCAATTATCAAACTGCTGTAAACTCCACCCAAGATGAACAAATATCTGATTCAAAATTAGCAAGTATGTAGCAGAAGTTTAAATATTGCCATAACTTCATCAAACTGTATTGTCCACCAACCGAGTAACCTACACAATTTTAAAGACATCCTCATTGACCTTCATCAATTTACACCTCACACCAGCTTCCAGCAGTTACAACACTTTTAGTTTTTTGGAAGATATTGTTCATAATTTCATTTCCACGTCGCTAGGAAATACTGGTCTTCTTTTAAGTTCTCGACAATGTACTTTTAGAAGCAAAACATTTTTGGTATTAACCGGGCGGTAGAGATAACAATATTCAATGAATTCATTTTTTCTAAAATGGCGCTGTGTCCTTCATGAAACAGACTAGCCGCAATAAAAGCAAAAATTTAGACAATTTTCAAACCGGAATGTTTGTGCTTTGGGGTCAATAGCCAAACTGTCGAGTTGAAGCTTTCGTTAGCATTCTGAGAGTGACTCATTGCCCTATGGTGGGTTCTCTCTGATCAGTGCGGAGTCACACGTATAGGCCTGAATTGCCTTTAAGGCGGCCCGACTGTCTGTGAAAATGTTTATGGATGCACCTTTCTGTTTCTTCTGTAGGTTCAAAGCGGTAGGTTCAAACTCTCAACTCCTAGCGGACAGTACTGATGATTTGGATGTACGTCAGTAGGTATTCATATTATTCGTCTTTATTCATATTCTCTGTACTGCCTATATATTTGCGAATATCCAGGCCATATTAGAGCATCTGTCAATTTTCAGCATCAGAAATTTAATTCGATGGGGTGGTAACTCATGTATCCCTAATCTAACATACATAGAGATTGGTGAAACAGTAGATTTTATTTTATGACAGTGTCCTGCAATTAATTATAGCCGCTCTATCGGATACTTGAGTTGCAATTTCCATTAACGTACGTATTATCCACTCCTATAGTTGCGAATAACAATAAGGATGTCTGCTTCCCTATTCAATACGCTAAGAATATTTTGTAGGCTAAGTTACAATATGTAAATATAACTTTAAAACCGAAAAAATGATAAAAAACCTACAAACGTTCTACCTGGCTTCGTTATTGAAATATTGCTTTAATCTCTATTAGAAATAATACTCATAATGAAGCCCAACACAAGCATTGCTGAAGACCATGCTGAGTTATGGATATCGACATTCGTTTCGTTCAGTAACTTTAATTCTAATTAAGTTGATAACGCTTACTAAATATACCATATACAGACTTGTTTTTCTAAAAGCGAACAATGCGCCACATAACCGCAAGAAAATCGTGCATTGACCTATTCAAGTACATATAGTATTTGACCTTATTTAATACAAAGCTGTAGAGTGCTTTCCCTATTACTAGAAATAGACTAATAGGCCGTTAACTATCAATATCTACTTGTCCGAATTGGGAATTATCTTGATAAGCTGTCCTTTCCAGCACTTCAGGAATCTAATTATTCGCGCGTGAAATCCCCGTCTCTTTCGCCTAATTGTCTAGTAAATTAGTCCCTATGGACCCATGTTTCTCCACATAGTGTAAAATTAGCTCCACGTGGTCTTCAAAGTAGCTTGCTATTATACTCTTGTCCACTAATTTCCTAATCTTTTATATTTCCACTTCAGTGAAACATCCGCCGATTTCACACCTTGTTTTCTGTATATTGACAAGTCCACCTTATTACTTCTTACTTCCTAATCGCCTGGGTAGACCTAACAATTGATTCATTAATCTAGCGCGCTACTTCTCTTATCTCATCCGAAGTTAATCGACGCTTATCGTACGATCCACGTGTAAGCGTCTACATATACACTATACTCTGTTTTTAAACCAGGAGGAGTAAACGCGAAAGTCAGATTTACACTGGGAAAAATCACCAGAAAATATCACTAGATATTTTGGCGGTAAATTTAAATTAATAATTATTATTATTTATTTATTTACTTATTATTGTATTTATTTTCGTTTGTTATCGTCAACACTAAACATACAAATTAACATTGAAGTTATGAGTGTATTTATTTCAAAATATAATAAAAAAGGGTTTAAGAACACAAAATATACAATAATGACACGAAACTGTCGAATT